AATGGTAGAATGACTCATTGCTCGCTGTTCATGGCAGAAGTGTTCATTAAAGTCTTTTAAGATAACTACAAAATGTAATAGGGGAAGTTAATTTCCAACATTTTAGGGAGCGGCTACTGGCAAGATATACAAGAATTTCTACACAGAACGGTTTTATTTGTATCAGACTTCTGTCTTTATTACTTTAGCATTAAAGGAAAAACGTACTCGAAAACGCATAAGCGTTATTTCCGAAAAATTTAAATTAAATCTATTTCCTGAAGTTTGAAATTCTTTATATCGTACTAATTATCCTTAGTTTGAATACTACATTTGTAGAAATTTAGTAAATTTGGCTTCAGGTAGTATTTAAAAGAATAATAAATACCAATCTGACAATAAAGAAATCATTAAAATAACTGAGCCAAGATGGAAATAATTTTTCTCTTAATTAATACTATTATTTGTTCAAATGGTAAATAATCATTTCTATTTCCATAATTGGTTTAGACCCATTTTCAAGTGAAAAATTAGTTGGAATATTTTAAACCTTAGAAGAAATTTAAAGGATAGAAGTCTTAATTAACTTCCATAATTAAAAAATCGGAAACCAATTTCCTTACTATGATTTTTGCACATGTTACAGTTGGGTTGGAAATTAGTGCACTAGGAAGAAATAGGAAGAAATGTTTAAACAATTTTTACGCTTTTAATTTGTGCAACCACGTAAATGGTCCATTCCTTCCCGGTAAAATGAAAGTAGGCTAAATGTACGTTCTTTTAGAAGTTTTTTTTAACTGGAGTTGCGAGTGGTTAATGCTTGTACTCTAAATATTGTGTAAGAAAGGGCGTTATGATACACAGTCTGAAGCATCTAGTACCGCAAATATTTATTTATATCAAATTTCAAGCGTTCTGAAAGTTAACATTAGCCCCGGAGCTGACTTCGATGCTTCACAGAGAGGACAAGGAACATCAAAGTGATAGAGTCGAGAGGGGGTACAGAATAATGATTCAAAGAGGTAAAAGAGACCTAGAGACAGACACAAAGGCATAAAAAAGGTAAGATAAGCACTGTGGAAGGGTTCGAATATGACAAATAGTCGGGCTATAGACGTTTGAAATCAGAAGTCAACTGCCGATCAGTAGACTTTTTTGCCGCATTAGTATACGTTGACCAGGGTGCACCACGTGGAAGTAAGTTTATTGTGCACCCCACCACAAATATTGATTAGTGCCAAATTGTTTTGCGAGTATATAAAAGTTTTTTTGCACTATTTAATCCTCAAATTATGATTTGCAATTTCATAAATTTTCCTACCGATGTTGGCAATTTTCCCAAATATGGAAATTATCTGTTTAAGGAGCAAATGTGAAGTTATTGTCTGCTGCATGATGTAATGAAAGAAATTATCAAATTTTGCAAACTTCAATGGGTTCAATTAGCGCTGCCTTGTAGAGTTTATTATTCAAGGACTTGACGTACTTTTTGAAGGCCAGAATAGAATTCGAAGTCTGTCGAATTTTAACGAGGCTTCTATTTTTAAACAAGTTTTATTCTGTTGTCCAATTAACCTATAAAATTTGTTTACGATGGTCAATATTTTGAAATTTATTGAGTTACCTTGATAAAAACACTCTTCCAGTTTATTATTTGTTTCCAACAAAAAACTGATTTGCTAATTGCAACAATAGGACTGTTTGCAATACTAAGATGCTACTATAGAGATGGGAAAAGATCATCTTTAATATTAAATGTGATTGCAAAGGAATGCCTTTATTTAAAGTTCACTAGACGATAATCGTGAAAGATTGCTATGCCATTGTGATCTAAATAGTTCATTCCAACCGAATTTCCAAAATTAGCTCAAGCATATTTCTGATATGGGGATTAGTTGAAAAAGTGTCACGAAATGCGAAATTCAAAAATCTTAACCAGTAGCCTTGAAACATTGTATATTGCGCCCTTTTAAAAACTTCAGTGATTGAGACCACCGTGGAAACCATCACAATTGACACAATGCAGTAATCTTACCTCTACTGATATCCTCCAATCCATCCTTTTACTTCTCCTAAGAAAAGCTAAATTCGACCCAATTAACTCCCAACCATCCAAATTTCCAAAAAATTCTTCCGCTTTAAGTTCATAAAATATAATGTCATTCTATTTTAGAGTAAATGTGACCTTCCAGTGTGTAGAAATAAAGATTAGAACAACGACTAAAACAATTAACAAAGTAGAGTTACTGGAAGCATAAATTCGAAACATTCAATCTAACTCAGAATTAGTGTTTGTAATGTTGAAAAATGCATAAGGTGAAATCATTTTAAGAAAGAATGCTGTCATTCTCTCCCACTAAGCACCCATGTTTCGGTCAGTTCTCTTTCATTTTACTATTTTAAACAAAAGCAACTGACCTTGAAAACCAAATAGAATTTAGTTTTTACTTAAAATAAAAGTAGAACAGCCAAAATGAATTTAATAAAAATTGAAAGATGAGAAACAAATATATTCAGTGACATAATAAAAATATCCGCTGATTTAAATGCTATGTATTTTCATTTTTTCAAGTTCCAAATAGTAATATGTATATATTTTTTGCTCATTTAAGATGGTTATCTGGGTGAGCTAAATGTACATTTTTGGATAACGAAGTGGTGCTGTTTAAGTGGTGGAATCCACAAAGACTGAACGACTGTGGGCGAGAGAGAGAGAGAGTGAGTGAGTGAGGAGGGAGAGATTTGCAAGAGCTCAGCTCACTGTGCTCATGCATCGCGCGCCCTCACACTCTTATCTTGCCCTCTATATCTCCTGATAATCGCAAGCGCTCACTTTATGACTGCCTAGGATCCATAAAGTTTCTCAAATGCTCTCCTTTTTATGGCATAAACAGATAAAGCCATTAACTTCAAGTTGTATTTTTGTGCATAAGGGAAAGAAGCAGATTAAATTGTCCCTCTTGGGTGATTTAAAGGATTGGCGCACACATTAAACATTAACTTTTAAGTCTGTATTAAAGGAAGGGTACCAATGGCCGCTTGATTTCGAGACTCAATATTGAATATAAGTTAAAATCAATACTAAGAAATATGTCAACTGTTGCTTCTATTGTTAACCGCTCTACTCTATTTTAAAATAACTTGCAATAAGTATACATATATATATATATATATATTTATAACAAATGGCGGGCGTTTTGAAAGTTATCATTAGCCCTTTAGTTGACTTCGGGCTTCACAGAAGGGAGGAGGAACATCGAGGTTAGAAGAATTCGGGAGGGGGAATAGAAGAGTGATTCACAGATGTAAAAGAAACAGAGAGACACAAAGGCTAAGAAAGGGTAAGATGAGTCGAATATGCCATACAGTGGGGGTGACGGTAGTTTGAAGTGAGAAGAGTATAGGTTGCCCAGGGTGCACCACGTGGAGGTAAGTCTATCGTACACCCCGAGTTCCCGATGATAGACCTTAATTTGTCTTTGATATTTCAATTTGATGACTAAAGGGTAATTTACAGTACTTGGTGTGCTCGTAAATGCAGGAAAAATTGTTAGTCTATGTGTGCTTCACTGTCTTCGATGCTTTATTACACTTCTGACATTTCCCTCGTAATCTATGTTTTAAATTCTCCCAAATTGGCAAATAGTAAGGGGCGAAGGATTGTGAAATTTGTTCAAATCTAAAAATTTTACCAACCCATGCACTCCAATAAGTTTCATAGAATCGAATTTCATTTGTGTCTTACGGTTATATTTATGGTTCTTTGCACTAATATTTAAAATAGCACCATTTTATTACCACACTCAAATAATCGACGCAATATGGATGCCAAAAGGTTCCGGTGATATTGAACTCATTGTCAAATTGAATACAAAAAGAGTTTTTTATAGAATAGGTTTAAATACTTATGAGATTATCCACATTTGGAAATAGACTAATTAGTGTCCATCGTATATAACAGTACTACTAGATGATTGTAGACACTTCAAAATATTAATTTTCGAATCGATTTTGTCTGGGTTACTCTGTAAAGAACTAATAATTTTCATCCTTCAAAATAATAAAATTTGATATAGGCGATTTCTCCACCTCTGATTTATATTTACCTTGAAATTTCTTTGAGCGTATTATTTGAATTGTCATAAACTCAAATTGAAATAAATTGATCAAATAAACAATTTCAACCCACTTGTTCATTCTCATTTGAAGTCATGAAGGAGTTATATTGGGATTCCCTTTTCATTAACCAGACAATAATCTCTGGACGTGATTGACAAAACCTTTTTAGTAATTAACATCAGGAAATCAACCGATGAATCCGTGATAAAAAAACTTACATTCACGTCTTCTCTACTTATCACCCTGAAATTTTATGCTCTATACAACAAAGTTCGATATAATCGTGCTGTAATTAATTCCCATCTATTTGATGTATTGAGCAGTATAGCCAACTGTTTTAAATACAATGGAACAGCAATAAGTTTTCTGAATATTTATTTATACTCTTTACTCTCATTGGACGCTCTGTCCGAAAATAACAATTTATTCTAACAGACCCGCTGTTAATTAGATTGGAATTTACTATTCCATATCATGTTAATAGTGAACGCTTTTCTGATAACTAAAATAGATTATTCACCAGTCTTTACCTTCCCCAAGATTTTGCCAAGTAAATTAAGGCAGAAATCAATAAAGCAAACGACCCAATCAGTTTCTTGAATTTAATTCGTACTAATAAACTAAAAATTATGTGAATTAATTTGCTCCATCATTCTCTCCAAGAGATGCGGCCCAAAAAGAATGCCTAACACAAGCGCCACTGCTCTTATGCCCAAGCAATATTGTGGAGAGTATTTGTTGCGCTCTAAGAAAGTAACATTAGCTGCCTTCCTTTTTCAGTGTGTCACAATTGTCGGTTACATGTGTGTATGTGTATACGTATGCAAGGAATTTGTAGTTCCCTTCTCCTGCCACACCCCTCCCCTCTCACTCCTACCTCCACCTAGGATGATTCATGAGCGATGATCGAAGAACAGGGAGTGGCCTACTTACCAAAAGGTTACACACTGACTGTAAGTGGCAGTAGGAGACTATTTTGCAGCTTCCTTCTTCTCCCGCGCCTGTCTTTTAAAGGTTACAGCAGGCACAATAATTTACAAATGGGCTGCTGTTGCTACTGATGCTGATGATGATGCTGGTGCTTCGCTAATGATTGCTTTGCACGAAGCACAAAGAGAAAAGGTTAGAAAATTGGAAGGTGGCTTAGCTAGTCAAATGTTGCGATATTAACACCATCGCCTTGTTCTTC